GATTAAAATATGTATAAATATTGATAAAAGAGTTGTATGGAGTAGTTAAAATGATAGATAAGATAAATAAAAATTCAGCTTTATAGGAGGTTAGCTATAAATAGGTCTTGGCTAAAAATTTATAAATTATTTGATTATTATTATTTATTTGAACCTAGCCTATATTCATAGAGTATTGGTTAATATCTATATCAATAACTAAGCCATCAGTATAAAAGTTAAAAATGTTTTAAGTTGAATTGTATAATAAAATTTTAATTAATTTGTTTATTTTATTACTAGAATAAAAAATTTCAGATATACTGTAGCAGAGGAGTAGATAGAAATAGATGATAGTAAAGAGAGTAAAACAGAAGGTAATAAATATTTAACAACTATAGAAAAAATAAGTCCATATAATTAGCATTAAATTTGAATAAATTAGAGGAGATTCTACCAAGAATTATAATCTGTTCTATTTTATCAATAATTCCTTTTCTTCTTTTTCTAATTTTTAGTATTGTTTTTATACTTACTTAATATATAGTTTCTATTATCTAATCTACTATCTTCCTTTGTAAATTTCTATTTTGTATATTGTTAAAACTTATATCTTCTACTAAAGTTGTTACTAAAATTCTTAGTTTTAATTTTTCTGCTATTTTGTTAAGAGTTTCTTTTTTATAAGGCTTTCTATATCTCTTTTTATGATTTTTTGGTTAAATATTTTCTTTGTGTTTTTATCATCTTGTTATTTTTGGTTCAAGATTTTTGCTTTTTGTTAAACTTGCATTTTTTTTTTCTTTTTTGATTCATTTTTTTTTCTATATATTATTTTATTGCAAATATTTCAACAATCCTTTAAAGTACTATAATAGTAATTTTAATGCTGTTTTATTATTGTTTTTGTTAATACAGTAAAAGACAACAGAGGATGTGGCGACTTAGTGAAGTTGGTAAGTTGTCGCACCCCCAAGTGGCAGAACAAAAGTTTAAATCCCACTGCTAATGAAATTCAAATTTTACAGAATATGTTATAGCAGACTGTGTATAATCTGATGGATCATCAGATCTGTAGCTTTGGTCGTACCAGCTTGTACTGAAAAAACATGTAACTATAGTGTAATGCAAGAGTTACACAAAAACTGAGTAAAGCATTTGTGTAAATCTAAGGGCTGAGACATACAGAATCTTGCTTGGCAAGTTCTAAGTAGAGAGGTAGCACAGATCTTTGACAGCCTACGTAAAGAATTATTACTGAAGATCTGAAAACTGGATGAAACTGAGGTGTTCGGCAAGGCACCATACCAACCAGGCCATCAGTGTATTCCGAAGAAGAGGTTCACCCTTTAAGCTATCTGAATTTGGAGTTTGGAGACCGGTAAAATGGTAGACAGTCCATAAAGTGGGTGCTGGAGTTTGGGTGAATTCTACAAGGGTAGAAGTAAGTAATAATAGCGGCTTTGACTTGCAAGTACTCATTCTCAGACTTGGCATAAGTTACTGAAAGTCTAAGTTAGCCGGATTGTGGGTACGGAAAGCTTTAGCAACGATGCTTCGAGGATAAATTAGTCCTAAAGCTACGATACACATCTGGAACTCTTGACTGATGAATGTAACGAAGTGTTCTAGTGATACAAGGGGTAGTGTACGTTACAGAGAATTTAAATAGATAATCCCCTAGTTGGGTTATAGGTATGACAGCTAGTGTAGAATCTATAGTGTACAGTTATCTATATGCGAACTACTTAAATAGGTGCTCAAAAAGTATATATATGACTAGCTGTACTCTCTAATGTAATTGAGGTTCCATTGTAAGCTCCCTGCCCATTATACTTGAATAAAAACCTCTATGCCAAAGAGGCTAGTTAATAAAAAAAAAAAAAGTAAAAGACAACCAATCTATACATAGAGGTGCTAATTTTTGATGCTTATATAATCAATTTTGATTGGCTAATTTTTGTGTAATTGTTTCTGATTGGTTAAAAATATTTATATATTTTCTTTTTTCTATATTAAACACCAATTTTTTTAAACTTATATAAACTTTAATCTTTTATAACTTTTTCAAAACAAAGAATAAAAAATCCTCTAACAGAAATATAGTTTATCTAAAAATCTATCAATTTGTCAGAGGATTTTGATTTAGCTTGTTTTAAAAAAGTTATAATACTTTAAAGTTTTTACTAATAAACATTGAATGCTTTTACTATCTGGTACTGTATTTTCTCTATTTATCTAGTCTTTTAATCCATCTTGCCTCTAGTTTAAACCTTGTATACTTAGCAGCTAATCTTTTTTTACTATACATTATTTATTTTACTCTTTTTATTATATATAGGTTTTTATAGTTCTGGTTATTTCTTCTAATATAATGTATTTATCTAAGTCAATTTCTAACTGTATTGCTTCTTGATATACTGTGTTGTTTCTTTTTTAAATACAAGTTCTGTGTATTTAATCTCTCTTGCTTTGTACAGTATTATCTTTTTCTATTTGTAGAGCTTTTATTTATAGAGAAATTTACAAATAAGAATCTAAAAGCAAAAATAATTGTGAACAGAGGCCCAAAATGAAAATAATTACAAATGGAAAAATTATTACAGATAAGAGCACAAAATAATTATGTGCTTAAAAACCTATGGTTTTAAACCCATTTCGATGATTTGAATATAATTATAATATAGTCATTAATTGTTAATAACATAAGAAATGTAATAATAATCTATTATAAATTCAAATGCACTATGAAAATATTTATTCGATTTGTCAACCAATTATTTACACTGTAAATTTATTCCATTGAAATTTTTGATATATTTCTTAAAAACCTGCCAGCTTATAACAAAAACCATGTCAAATACAAAATTACAGATTGATATGATTTTACTAATATCAAAATATTCATTCGGCCCTGGATAGTTATTCTGTCAAATTTTTTTCTCCTTATACCATTTTACTATTTCAGCTAACAAGCGCAAAAAGTGGCTACATTTATATAGTAAGGCCGATTCCTCATGATCCAACTTGTTTAACTTCTATGGAAGCATTCAAAGCATGTGGATCATATCTTGTAAAGTTTATTGTGCCATTAGTTAAAGAAATAGCAGTACTTCAACCTCGTGATATTATAAATCGTGTTCGTTTTGAAGTAGGGGCCGAGACGTCATATTTGGTAGTTTGAGAAGTTAAACTATTAGATCACACAGTTAATTTTTCGTTTTGCTCAAAAATCCGTTTGGTCAGTCGGATTTTTGTGTTTTCTTTTTAATTCTGTATAATGAATAATAACTTATTTAATCACGAAATGAGGCAATTAATCAGGATACCATTATGTTTAAATCGGTTAGTAATTTTGACGGTATACTTGGGCCCTTATTTGTGGTAATTTTCAAATATTGGGCCTTTATCTGTAATCATTTTCATTTTGGGTTCTTATTTGTAATTATTTTCATTTTTATACCCTTATCTGTAAATTCCTTTTTATTTTATCTGAAATCAGATGTCAAATTATTAATTTTGAAACACTCCAATAATATCATATGTCGATGTACTTCAGATTATACATTACAGAATTATCATTTAGAGAAGGAATAGCTTATCTTAAATTTTAGCTGATAAATAATCTTGTAATAAAACGTTAAAAACCCCCCTTTAAAAGTGTCTTGTTGGACATAATAACGGACTAATGCCTTAAGTCAAATAACTTTTGGACTAATTAGCTTAGTAAGTAGTCCGGTCTAGCGGATTAGTTTAGTCCAATTGACAGCACTGGGTATTAGGTATTTTATTATACTGTATATAGTTAAATAAATAATTTTATACTATTAATGTGAATGCGAATTATTTATAAAATTAGCAAAATTAAGAGAAAGAATTTATTATCAATTTTTTGAATAAATTGGCACAAATAAGAACTTAGATTAAAATAAAACACATGTTTTCTTTTTAATCCTATAAACTCGCTCATGCTTTTCTATTAAAAATTCAACTTAATTCCCAATTATAATGTTAAAAAGTTAAAAAGTGCATCCAAAAGAATCACGATGAGTTAATTTTATATTAAACTATTCCTTATGTCATCCAATAAAGCAATACTGTATATATTATCAATGTAACAATAAATGCTATTGATTTAACATCTATTAATCGAATGAGACATATGTTCTAAACCCAAATTACGTAGCAACATTATAATTTAAAAAAGAAGTTTTGGACGCACCCCTATGTACAGTGAATTGGGCATCCCAAGCATCTTCTTTTTCTAGAGGGTGAAGGAGACAGCTATAGATATAAAAATAAATTCATTAACCAAAAAAAAACTTTTTTTTTCAAAATGGTCTCAGACATGATCACTTAATTTATACTTACGGATTTGCTTTTGTGATTCCTTTTTGTCAAACGGCCGTAATCATAATTGATAACTTTTCTGTTACGGAAGCTATATTTCCAAACCGTTATCATTATTGTGATACGCAGATACTGCTACTGCTGATGCAGATGATGATAATGCTGCTAACGCGAATTCAGATGATTCTGCTATTAACACAGATTTTGTCAAATTTCTGTAATTGAAATTTGTAATTTTTCTTTTCCGAAAACTATATCTATGCATTAAAGTTTCCGAACTGTTATCATCTGCAGCAGATGTTGATAATGTTGCTAACGCAGATTCAGACGATTCTGCTGTTGCTGTTGATGCTGCTAATGTTGCCAACGCAGTTGATGATGCTATCATGGATGTAGCCGTTGTGGTTGATGATGCAGCTACCGTTGCTAACGCAGATTCAGATGATTCTGCTGTTGCTGTTGATGCTGCTAATGTTGCCAACGCAATTGATGAATCATCCAGGACGGCCCCCAAAATTGCAGTGACGTAGATTATTGTGCAGTCATTGTACGTATATATATGCAGTGGATTACAATCACTAAAAGAAGAGAGCCAATAAGTGGCACTAACTAATCTTACGTCACTGCAATTTTGGGGGCCGTCCTGGATGATTCCAATTGATGATGCTATCATGGACGTTGCCGTTGTGGTTTATGATGCTGCTACCATTGCTAACGCAGATTCAGACGATTCTGCTGTTGCAGCTGATGCTACTAACGTTGATTCAGACGATTCTACTATTGTAGATACTGTTAACGCAGATTTTGTCAGATTCCCATAAGTAATTTATAATATTTCGGTTACGAAAACTATATCTATGCATTAAAGTTTCCGAACTATTACCATCATTATATGTCGCAAATGTTGTTGACAATGCTGTTAACGCAAATTCAGACGATTCTGCTGTTGTGGTTAATGGTGCAGATATCATTACAGTTGATGATGATGCTGTTGTGGCTGATGATGCTGTTAACGTTGCTAACACAGATTCAGAAGATTCTGCTGTTGCTGTGGATTTTACTGTTGTTTCAGTTGATGATGCAGCTAATGTTGCCAGCGCAGTTGATGATACTATCCCAGATGCCGTTATGGTTGATGATGCTGTTAGCATAGGTATAGATTTTTCTGTTGCTGCTGTAGTTGATGGTGCTACCAACGCAGATGAAGATGATGATTCTGTTGTTGGTGTTACGCTTATAGTTGCAGTTGGCGCCGTTGCTTCTATTGATTCTCCTCTATTTGAATTGAATGTTTTCCATAAACCTTATAAATGTAATTCTTATGAGAAATGGTTCTCAATAAATGTAATACTTATGAGAAATGGTTCTCAATAAATGTAATACTTATGTGAAATGGTTCTCAATAAATGTAATACTTATGAGAAATGGCTCTCAATAAATATAACCAGATAAGATAGCGGACGCAGGAATAAATCAATTTTTTAAGAAATGATTCCTACTTCAAAACCAGTAAAAACTTAAAGATCGATTAATTCCATATGTTTCCGCAAGCCACAAAGGGGAGCTTCCACGCATCCACGACGCTTCACTCAGGCGAATAAATCGGAGAGTTCCACGCATTCATTTGGTGCTTGTGAGGGTAGGCAAGAACCCAAATGAATCCTATTTATCTAAATTTATTATCTTTATTACACTTACATTTATGTTACTTAAAAGTCTTTCAGCTATGTTTTTCACCTCTTCTGGTATTAATGAGCTATTTCTGATATTTGTTAATGTATTAATGTAAGCTGCATTTGCTCTACGTCTATCTGCATTTCTATAATTGTCGGTCATGGAAATAACATAATGATTATATGACCATTTCCCCGCAGGGAAGAACCTAAAGTACAGGATGTAGGGAACGTCTTTGCTGAGAATGTTTTCTACGTATTAGAGGAAGGAATCGGGTTCAGACATAATTTGTAAAAATCAAAACACGAAAAATCAAAAAAATTTTCGGAACGTGATTTATAGCCAATTAGATCGGTGTAACGTGAAAATCACGCATTTTTGGTTTTTTTTTTCCAAAACACCTGATCCATCAATCTAATTGGCTAAAAATCACATTCCGGAAAATTTTTGTGTAACATTGCATTTGTGCATGGTTTAAAATAGCTTTTAACTTATATCGATATTGATTATACTATCGCACTTAGGTGTTTGTATAACCAATTTGAATGGACTAAATATCTTATTAGGGAAGTAAACTAATATCTGGCATGCCCCTTAGCAATTAATTTATAATTTATTTCTAAATGACAGATGGTACTGGATGTGAAGGAAGAGTAGTTAAAGACACATTTTGGTCTATCTATTTTTTTTATCCGGTTCTTTTTAAAACCTTAATTTTGGTACCGTGCTGAATTCTTTAATATTCAATCAAATCACTTTTTTTTCAAGTAACATTGTCTTATTCTAAATGATGATATCATTATGTTGTTTGAGTTTAAGAATTGGAATTCCTACTCCATTTGAGATAATGGCCAAAACCGAATATATGCCCTATTTTCGATTAATAGTGTTAAACTCAAGAACTCGCCAAATAATTAAATTTTCCTTCTTTAATATTTCAGCCTTGACTGCGGCCGAAATAATTAAACCCCGAATATTTTTTGACTCAACACAACGCGAATTCGTTTTTTGTTCCTTAGTTATTTTTAGTTCAACACAAAACGAATCCGGTTTTTGCTCAATCCACACAAATTTTCTTAACACAGCGCGAATTCGGTTTTTGCTCCTCTTCGTTCACTCCACACAATCGGCACCAAGAATGTTACGACAAGGGAGAGACTTTATAACCGTACTGCCAATTCAACTCTGGTCGTAAGCATTAAAGTAAGAAACCATTCATTTATTATCACGTACTAAACACTAAAATTACAAAGAAATATGAGCGATACAAGTAAGTATCTTCCTATCAAGTACACCCGGTACACTAAAAGTCCCCTAGAATATTCCTTATTCCGAAAAACTAAATACGAAAACTCTAGAACTACTACCTAAGCTGCTATCCCTATTTATTAGACTTAAATTAGCTATCAGTCACACGATTTGTCACGCAGATCATGTGTGCAAAATTTTTACTATAGGGTCAAATGATCGACGCACCTAAATTTTATAAGTAAATTTTGGGCAAATTTTGCTTTTAAGGCATATTTAACAATA